CATCTCTCTCTCTCTCTCTCTCTCTATATATATATATATATATATATATATATATATTGATTGATTTTGATTTTAACAGTTTATCAAATTATTTAAAGCTAGAAAATATTTTTTGATTCTAAAAATATGTGGGATAATAATGATTTACTGATACAAGTCCTACTAATTAATCCATAGCTGGGGGTAGAATAGGTAAATTAAATACTATTATCATTATTATTTTTATCATTATTCTTTGATCTCTGTTCAAAATTTTACACAATTTCTAATGTTGTGTATCCATTAGTCAATAACTTTACAAAATCATATTTCACTTTTGAAATTCTATGTTTCTTACAAAAAACAACAAATATAGTGGGTAGCACATAAGAAGTGAAAATAATATAATCAAGATTTTAGCATTCCATACTTCCATAGACAACAGGTTTTGAAAGAAACTCTACCAGTACTAGAAAGAGTGATAACAGTCGACTTGAAGTCTAATTTCCTGGATATTGTTTTAAGAAAAAGATTATATAAATGTTAATCAGTAGTAATACTCTTTGGTCAATGAATGCCAAATGTTTCCTTATAAAAAAAGGTTAATCTCACTGTTACTCTAACCTTAGTAATTTTTATATATTTGAAAGTAAAAATAAGTATCAACAATTATACTATTATTATATATAAGCTGTGTCATCCCTACAGCATTCAAGTTTATCAAAACTTGTTCAGACGATAACACAGTAGCTAAGTTGGACGCCATTATTATTAAAATCTCAAATGAGATTTTCGCAAAACATTTACTTGCTACAAAAAAACAGAAAACTAATGAAAATTTGGATGACTTCTTCAGGGGATTTGAAAAACTAAGATGGGATTGTGATTTCAATGACCGTACAGCCAAACAATGTGAGAACGAAGCTATGCAAGACACTTTTATTAGTGGAATTGCTTCTCCAGGAATATGTCAAAGACTGCTGGAAAATAAAACATTGGATTTTCAGACAGCTTACAATCAAGCTTCAGCCTTGGATTTAGCACAGAAGAATAACAAAGCTTATGTTGCCCCTATTTCCTCTCTGGCTGTTGCAATCTGTGAGAATAATCCTTCTGACAGCAAAGATAATAAAATTAATATCTTAAACCCACCTGAAAAAAAAATGATAGCTGTGAATTACAAGTCTGGGAGTACTAATAGGAAAGCCTGTTTCTTTTGTGGGGCTGTGCCATACTGTAAGAGAAATAATTGTCCAGTATGGGAAGCCATATGTAACAAGTGTTCTAAAAAGAGGATGTCAGTGTCGAGTAACAAATGCACCAAGTGCTACCATTTTCTCTACCAATATAACAGTAAGAAAAAAAGAAGTACCAGGTGAACTCTCACATACTTCAATGATTATAGATATAAAATGAAAAATCTTTAATACCTTACTTGACTCTTGGCCTTCCAAAAGGTTTATTTGTGAAAATGCAGTTTATTCTTTAAAATTAAAATGAATTCGTTAATCAAAACAGGTTACTATGGCACAAAAATAACTAAGGAGTCTATCTAGAGAATTTGCCATTGTTAGTCTCAAACTTATATTCGGGCATTCACCTGAGTATTATGAAAGACTTGTGCTGTGATGTGGTGCTGAGGAGGGATTTTCGAATATGGCAGTCATCTTCTTGCACTGGTTATAAGAAATATAGGAATGTGTTCTGTTTTAAAGACTGCAGATATGGAGGAACCCACATTGTTCCCAAATATTACATTTATATTCAAATTGATAGCTACAAAATCTAGACGCTTTAGCCAAGAAGACCAGAAATTTATCAATATGAAGATAAATTTTTAGCTAACAAAATTATCGAACCAAGTATTTTGCCATTGCATACCCAAGTCATTGTTGTTAAAGATGAAACCAGAAGGCACAAAAAGAGATTATGCGTGGATTATTTGCAAGCAATAAATATATACACTGAACCTGATACATACCTGTTGCCAAGGATTGATGATCTAGTTACAAAGCTTGTCAAATATAAGTACTTTTCAACCTTTGACTTAAAAAATTGCCTATCACCAAGTTAAAATGAATCAATCCAACAAAAAGTACACTGCTTTTGGGGCCAATGGTCAACTTTATCAGTTTACTAGACTTCCTTTTGGAGTAACCCATGTGGTCCCTGTTTTTCAAAGATCAAAGAAAAAGATCATAAAAGAAGAAAACCTTAAAGGTACTCTACTTTATCTTGATAATATTATTTTTGGCAGGGAGACTAGAAGGAAGCATGATAAGAATGTCAAAGAATTTCTGAAAGTCATGAAGAAAACAAAATTAACCTTAAATGCTGCTAAAACTATTCAGAAGTTAAAGTACTGGATATTTTAGGATATTGTGTGGGAAATAGCATCATTAAACCTGACCTAGTATGGAACTCTCCAAAGATATGAGAACACTTAATAGGGTCAGGGGCTTGCTTGTGTATTATGCAAAATGGATACCTGAATTTTCAGATAAAATTTGTCCCTTAGTTAAAGTTGATCAATTCCCACTGTATAAACAAGCTCTCTGCACTTTTGAATCCCTAAAATCTGAGTTATATAAAGCAACTTTGTGAATTATTGAAGAAAACTTACCTTTTGAGGTAGAGTGCAATGCTTCAGATAATGCTATATCTGCAGCACTAAGTCAGAATGGAAAGCCTGTCACATTTCTGTCAAAAACACTCCAAGGAAGTAAAAAAGTGTATAATAAAGTTGAGAAAGAAGCTTTGTTGATAATCACTGCAATGCATAAATAGAGGTACTTTTGTTGTGATGCTGCTTCAAGTTATATACCAGTGCCAGGTCAGTGTCATTTATTTACAATAATTGAAGGCATATAAAAGTAGAAAATGTCAAAATCAACGAATGGAGAATGGAGCTTGGTGAACAGTTTTGATATCAAATATCAACCTCGGAAGAGTAATGTTGCTGCAGATGCTTTTAGTCTTGTCTATTATGAATTTACAAATTCTCAAGATTCGACTCTTGAGGATTTACATCCGGAATTATACCATCTAGGAGTATCAAGACTCTTGTATTTTGTAAGATCAAGAAATCTCTCTTTTCTAACAAAGACATTAAAAAAATATGCATATTATGCAGAGTTTGTGTTGAGTTAAAACCTGAGCTCTAGCAACTTTTGGAGGTATACTGATAAAAACTACTGGACCTATAGAAAGTATCAGTATTGATTTTAAGGGGCCTCTCCCAACAGCTACTCATAATCTGTACTTGTTAGTGATTGTTGATGAATATTCTCAGTACCCATTTACATTTCCATACCCGAATACATACACAGTTATTAACTGCCTAGAAATTTTGTTTAGTATTTGTGGAATGCTAAGTTATATTCACTCAGATAGAGGTCATTCTCTCATATCCCAAGAACTATTTATTGAGTATTTATTGAGTAAAAGTATTACAACAACAAGTAATTCTACACCACATCACCTCCAAGGTAACAGTCAGGTAGCACAATAGATTGGGGTTATATGGAAAACTATTCAGTTGACTCTTAGGTCTTGGCAACTAATGCAAAAACACTGGGAATGAGTTTTGTCAAAATCTTTTCATTCTTTTCCTTCTTTCTTGTGTATATCTACTAACTGTACACCCCATGAATGATTCTTCAAGTTTCAAAGGCACACTTCTCATGGGGGCTCACTCCCAACTTGGTTAATGAGACCTGAACCAGTACTTTTAAGATGATTGTCCATACGAACAAGAGTGACCCCTTAGTAGATAAAGTTGAACTGATTGATAGCAATCCAACCTTTGCCAACATCAATATCCTCACAGAAGACAATCAACTGTATCTGTCTGAGATTTGGCTTCCTGTCCTGATCAGTCAGAACCTTCTCCACTTCAGCAAACTTTATGAATCTCAAACAATTTCTCCAAAGAAGAAAGTAGTTGTGGGACACCTGCTCCATGATCACCTACTTTAGATGAGTCATTGACTGAAAGTGAAAGTTTTCAATCAGAAAACCAATATCCAGACCTGACAATGGCTAATATGAACTAACCTACCATATATCAAATCCCCCTATATGAAAGGGTGGATAAAATTTAATGGAAGGTTTTCTCTCAGTTTAAAAAAGAACAGCTCTCTAAAAAAAATAGATTTTGTATTTGTATTGTCATTGAATATATATATATTTAAAACCAAAAGGAGTGGTGTAAAACATGTTTCATTAAGTTAAAGAGCTTTGAAGTGTGTAGACTGAAGCACCATGATCAGCTTCGTCATGCTCTGAAGCAGAGACACCATCAAAATCCTCCTTTAGCAAATTTCATCTGTCAGTTTGGCTTCATTGCCTGCAGCAAGGCCAGGCTAGTATCACACTTGAGAAAGTACAAATGAAATATCTCTTTCCCTTACTTGGTTTTCTCCACAATAGCCCCTACTAGCATGCATAAGTGCAAAACGAAAGGCACCATTCAATGTTGACCCTCATTTATCATTTACAATAGGAGAGTCCACCATATATATAATAATAATAATAATAAATCCTTATTTTCTAGGAGGGAAGAATGTCATAAACTAATTAAATATCATGTGAGTTACCATTCTCTCCTGCTTCCTATAAATAGTCACTTGGTCAGTGATTCTAGCAGTTTATAGTTAATAAGTAGCTGAATGAGGCTTGGATTCACTTTAAGTCTCTCTTCAGTTACAAATACTTAGGGCATAATGGATTTTTTTTGTATTCTTTCACACTCAGTAACCCCTTGTGTCTTAGTAGCTTTATTGCCTTGCTTGGGGTGAAAGGATTTAAAAACATGTACAATATTTGCATAATAAAATTTCATACAACCAAATAATTTATTGCAAATATTTCTAAAAAGAGAGATATTATAAAAAGAAATTTGCATGGCATATTATAAATTGAAGTATATACTGAAAATTATTATCAATTGGCCAATACCAATTTTATTGTAATAACACTGACTTGTATACTAAAACCTGACATAGTGTTTATTCTGATAAATGTTCCTCTTCCCTCCCTCCTTCATCTGCTGCTGGTTATTAACCTATATTCAATTTTTGTCTGACACTCCAAACTCCCTCTATGTAGTTGTTCTTTCATCTTCATTCCTCTCTCTATATATTTGCTTATTTATCTTCATTCCCTGTCCCCCTCTCTCTCTCTCTGTTTTTGATCATTGATCTTCATTCCTCTCTCATTCTCACTCTCTAAGTGTTTGTTCATTCATTTTCATTCCTCTCTTTCTCTCTATGTATTTGTTATTTATCTTCATTCCTCTCTCTCTTTGTATGTATTTCTTTATTCATCTTCATTCCTCTCTATCTATCCCTTTCTATTTGTTTATTCCTTTTCATTCCCTACATATTTGTTTATTTATCTTCATTCACCCCTCTCTCTCTCTCTATGTATTTGTTATTTATCTTCATTCCTCTCTCTCTTTGTATGTATTTCTTTATTCATCTTCATTCCTCTCTATCTTTCTCTCTATATATATGTTCATTCATCTTTATTCCTCTCTCTCTCTCTCTCTCTGTATTTGTTGTAAGCACTGACCGATTTATTTTATGCATCCCATAAGCAATAATAATAATGATATTTTCTACATATAAATATGGATACATGTGTTTGGAGGGCTATTAGATGCAAATGTAGTTGTATGTATCTACAAAGGGGTGCTCTGAAAATAATGCCTCCTAACTATTTCCACAGAAACTATAACAAATGCTGGGAGCACAATAAGTTTGTTGGAGGGAGAAACTTTTCAGTTAGAAAATGCTGTTCTCTTCACATAATCAAAATCATTGATTATGCATTTTTGCCAATGATGGACAAGAACCTGCATGCCATGCTTATAAAAATATGCCCCAATGAAAATTCACTGTTCAGAAAGTATCAAATATATAAATAAATCAAATAAGCGCTTGTATTCAAAACAACACGAAAACACTTCTATACACATCAAACATGAAGAAAAATTAACAACACATAAAAACAACCTCCCTCAAAAATGGCTAAAGTGGCCAAAAGTACTTGGGACAATGGACAATATTGATAATTTTTGCACTTCCTTCCTCCCACCAAACAAAAAAAAATGTAAGAATGCTAGAAAAACTAATAAAAAATTAATTAAATTTTCCTTGTAAGTCATATTCAATGAATCAAGTTTAAAAGAAAGTTTGCTGCCCAAATATACATTAATATATATATAATTATTTTTTTTTTTAAATTTATAACATAAATATGTTATAAAATCACTACAAAAATAGCCATTTTGTTTCCATTTTGCTGAAACAAAATGGTTATTTTTGTAGTGATTTTATAACATATTTATGTTACAAATTTAAAAAAAAAAATAATTATATCTGCTTTACTTTGTATTGAGCACTCTTTTAAGAATAGTAATTGTTGGTTATTGGAATTCATTCCGTATACACCAATTATATACTTGGTTAATATATATTTATATATATATATATGTGTGTGTGTGTGTGTGTATGTGTGTGTAGGCACATGCATGAGTTGTTATAGCATTCACTTTCTAACCATGAAGTCTAGGTTCAAATTTCACTATAGTTGATTTGTTCATAGAGATGACTTCTTGATGTCATTGGCTGGGAGGGAGGGAATCAGTCCCAGAATGTGTCACCTTTGGAAAGTGTCTGAAAAATAAGACCATAGGTTGACCCAAGCCTTGTGAGTGAAAATTGAGTAGAGGGAACTTGTTGAAAGCCATCAATGGTTATGCTGTTAAATATCCCACATTACGATAACAGAAGTTCTGCCAAGAAAAGTGAAATTCTGCAAGCACTTGGACACAAATTCACCATGGATGATCCAGCAGGCTAACAAAGCATTCTCTATACATCTTTGTCTTATATGATTATAAGATTATATGAACTTATATGATTAATACAAAAGGGATCTTTTATAAAGCAACACATTCAATGCATTGGTCGCTCACCATGATGAGTCTATTCATAGTTTTGATTTGAAGAATACTAGTTTGGTTAAGAGAAAAAGCAAAATGTGGAACTGCTGGTTGGTCTTTCAAGCAATGATAAACCAGATAGAGTAACCTAGGAGATTCAAATCAGGTTTGCTAAGATAACATAAGTTAAAAGTAACATGGCTATGAAAATTATAAGCTTTCCATTGCTGGGTCATGTGGGAGAGAACATATATAGCTCCCCTGGCTCACCTCCTTGATGTAGGGCTTGACCACTATGTCCAGTAACATGATTTTAGGCAATGGTCCAACTAAAAGAATTAGGTAGGTATAACAAGGTCCTCATTGCCTCTGACCCTCAGGACCATCACAGAGGACATGAACTTTTGCGAGTTCTGTGCAGTGCCAATTATTGTTTCTCCTGTTCACCTGGCCTCTTTCAAAAAGATGATTATCTTTGAGCTGCTGTGGTTGGCAGCTAGTTTCATGAGCAACATATATTTTTAATTTTTTTGTATCAGAATGAAAGTTGTTAATTCTTACAGCAGATCTGTGAGAGAAATGAAAATATAAAAAATTTGGCACATGATATGTAATATTAAGTTATGTCATATTCCATTCAAACCCACGAAAGGTGTCTTCATACATAACTGTTTGCACACACACACACACACATATTGTTTGGATTAATTTATTTTACTTGTTTTTGTTTAATTTATTTTCATTTATTCTTGTTGGTTTTCAGTTTTTGATTTTTAAGTAATGTTGTAAAAATTTGTTTTTGTGTCTGCATTTTGAGATGAGTTCTGATGATTGAATTAGTAGTTTGTTTTGGGCTAAAAAGGTCATTATCGCTATTTTTCCCCAAGGCAGAATTTACAGTTTTTAGTTTGATTGTTGTAGGTTAATATTATTTTCTTTATTTTCCATGATATTTTTGGTGTGGTTTGTTTTAATCTCCCAGATATGTTTAGAAAGCATGTTTTATGTGCGTAGTTTCTTTATTTCCAGGGTCCTTCAGTTACTCCTATGTATATTTTTTCTTTGTTTCTATGCTTATGAAGAATGGTTGGCACAAAGAAACTTTGGAGTCGGGGATACAACAACTAAAAAGGATTCAGTATTTACATTTAACTATTTAACTAAATTTTGATATATATAGTACTCTACCTAGAGCCAGTGCATTATTTTTATACTCTTTCTAGGAACAAATTGTCACTCCTCAGTACTTTACCTAGAACCAGTGCATTATTTTTATACTCTTTCTGGGATCAAAATGTCACTCCTCAGTCCCATACCTAGAATCAATGTATTATTTGTATGCTCTTTCTAGGATCATACTGTCACTCTTCAGTACTCTTCAGCCTAGAATCAGTGTAAAATTGCTGGGTATCTTGGGCTCTATCTTTAAGTGACAACAAGTCTAAGAGAAGGTTTACTCTAATTCCACATCAAGGAGAAGGCAACAAGAAACCACTCCACTGTATTTTTCAAGATGTTATGGCAATTTACGTGTAATAAAAGATTGGTGGGGGCAGGATATTGTATATTCTGAATGGACTTGACATTTAAAATAGTAATAAATTTGCTCATGAGTTTCAATTGTCTTGTTTATACAATTGTTTATTTACACTGTATATTTATTAGATTGTTTATTGGAATCGTTAGCAAAACATTGGCTAATTGCCAATCAATTCAAGCTTTATAAAATGGTAAATAATGAAAATTTCCTTATAGATGATTCACATATTTTAATAATTTAGTAAATGATTACAAATTTATGAAAAAAAATTGTTTTCACATTTATTTCTTAATAAATTGGTAAATTGGTAATATTGCATTGCATTAGTTTGAATTGTATTAGTTTTTAGAATATTTTAAATATAAAATTATTCTTTTAAATAAACAATCTAATAAATAAATAATGTTTAATATCTTTGTTGTAAATTCTCAAGAACAAAAAAATGTATATGTTTAAATTTTATCACAATTCTAATCATTACTTTTTAAAACAGTAAAACAATAAACATTGCTGAGAAGTAAAGGTAGTTAAAATAATAGTGGTGTCAAGGGAAAAACTGTCCTTTTGACACTGTTTGTTTTGGAGGCACAAAGGTCAAAGTTTGCTGGAATTTGGATTCAGTTAGCCAATTTCAACTTCCAAGCTATTAACCATTACACTATCCACACATCCAAAATAAACTAAATATATGCAATATCAAATATCAGACATGTTATATATATATATATATATATATATATATATATATATATATATATATTTATTAAAGACATTTTTTATGTTTAACGTTGTTATTTTTTATAGATACAAGTATTTAAGCAAATGCTCTGTTTATGATAAACAGTATTAAATAACATTTACCGGCCTGAATGTCCGAGAAATTTTCATAGAAAATATTCGTTCTTTGACAGGATTCGAACCTGCATCCTATAATGGAACCGTCATATCGCGTTTTTACCGCTAGGCTACAAAAAGAAGCGTTCGTAGACAAGGTCAATTTACTGCTTATAAACTCCAATTTTCCATGAATCTCGTACATTCATAACTGCTCTGGCGTATCGAATGTAAACAAATGACGTCATATATTAAGAATTGGACAAGGTCCGACAATTTATTTATTAAAGACATTTTTTATGTTTAACGTTGTTATTTTTATAGATACAAGTATTTAAGCAAATGCTCTGTTTATGATAAACAGTATTAAATAACATTTACCGGCCTGAATGTCCAAGAAATTTCATAGAAAATATTCGTTCTTTGACAGGATTCGAACCTGCATCCTATAATGGAACCGTCATATACGCTGACGTGCCTTACCGCTAGGCTACAAAGAAGCGTTCGGCAGACAAGGTCGAATTTACTGCTTATAAACTCCAATTTTCCATGAATCTTGTACATTCATAACTGCTCTCATGTCGAATGTAAACAAATGACGTCATATATTAAGAATTGGACAAAGGTCCGACAATTTATTTATTAAAGACATTTTTTATGTTTAACGTTGTTATTTTATAGATACAAAGTATTTAAGCAAATGCTCTGTTTATGATAAACAGTATTAAATAACATTTACCGGCCTCAATGTCCAAGAAATTTTCATAGAAAATATTCGTTCTTTGACATTTATTTAATACTGTTTATCATAAACAGAGCATTTGCTTAAATACTTGTATCTATAAAAAATAACAACGTTAAACATAAAAAATATCTTTAATAAATAAATTGTCGGACCTTGTCCATTTCTTAATATATATATATATATATATATATATATATATATATAATATCTAATATGTATCATACATCTAATATAAACTTAAAATGTGATAAAAGCCAGTAGAGATAAAGAAAAAACAAGTAAAAAAATTCATTGTAAAAATATTTAATCTTAGACTTGAAACAACATAAGAATTATTAATATATTCAGTTCTTTTTTATATATTTATTTTTGCATTGAACCTAAAATTCCAGGATGGAGCCAGAGCGATTGCTTACATACAAAGAAACAAGGCCTCTCCCACCACTTAAATATCACTATCTTCAGGAAACCCCTTACATTATTTGAAGGATTATTTTC